GAGGCCAGTGGGGGGGGGAGAGGCCCAGTGGGGGGGGGGGGGGAGAGGCCCAGTGGGGGGGGGAGAGGCCCAGTGTTGGGGGGAGAGCCAGTGTGTGGGGGAGAGGCCCAGTGTGTGGGGGGAGAGGCCCATGTGTGGGGGAGAGGCCCAGTGTGTGGGGGGAGAGGCCCAGTGTGGGGGGAGAGGCCAGTGGGGGGGGGAGAGGCCCAGTGGGGGGGGGAGAGGCCCAGTGGGGGGGGAGAGGCCCAGTGTGGGGGGGAGAGGCCCAGTGTGGGGGGGAGAGGCCCAGTGTGTGGGGGAGAGGCCCAGTGTGTGGGGGGAGAGGCCAGTGTGTGGGGGAGAGGCCCAGTGTGTGGGGGTGGGGGGAGAGGCCCAGTGTGTGGGGGAGAGGCCCAGTGTGTGTGGGGGGAGAGGCCCAGTGTGTGGGGGTGGGGGGAGAGGCCCAGTGTGTGGGGGGAGAGGCCCAGTGTGTGGGGGAGAGGCCCAGTGTGTGGGGGGAGAGGCCCAGTGTGTGGGGGAGAGGCCCAGTGTGTGGGGGAGAGGCCCAGTGTGTGGGGGGAGAGGCCCAGTGTGTGGGGGAGAGGCCCAGTGTGGGGGGGAGAGGCCCAGTGTGTGGGGAGAGGCCAGTGTGTGGGGGAGAGGCCCAGTGAGTGGGGAGAGGCCCAGTGTGTGGGGGAGAGGCCCAGTGTGTGGGGGGAGAGGCCCAGTGTGTGGGGGTGGGGGAGAGGCCCAGTGTGTGGGAGTGGGGGGAGAGGCCCAGTGTGTGGGGAGAGGCCCAGTGTGTGGGGGAGAGGCCCAGTGTGGGGGGGAGGCCCAGTGTGGGGGGAGAGGCCCAGTGTGTGGGGGGAGAGGCCCAGTGTGTGGGGGGAGAGGCCCAGTGTGTGGGGGGAGAGGCCCAGTGAGTGTGGGGGAGAGGCCCAGTGTGTGGGGGAGAGGCCCAGTGTGTGGGGGAGAGGCCCAGTGTGTGGGGAGAGGCCCAGTGAGTGGGGGAGAGGCCCAGTGCGGGTGGTGTTTAAGGTACAGATGTGTTTAAACAGTAACAGTAGAGCAATGAGAAGTCGGGTTTGTGCCTCGAGCTCTGCCCTCGGCGCGACATTCAAACGCACCTGCGGGGATGGCCACTGGTCCCGCGGCGCGGCCTCGCCCCGTCCCCGCCCTGTCCCGCACCGCCCCCCGGGGGGGAGGGGAGGGGGGTCCTAACTGCACAGCGGCTGCAATTAATTCAAAAGTCGCGCCTGTGCCGCACCGTCAGGGAGAAAGCACTGCTCCATCACCAGGGTCTGTGCTCCCTCCCCCTCCCTCCCTCCCTCCCGGGGCCGGAGCCAGTGACTGCTTTACAGGTAGATGTCCTGTGGTTGACTTGTCTTTTTGTGTATACCCGTGTACACACTCACTCACTCACACACACTCACTCACTCTCACACTCACTCTCACACTCACTCACACACACACTCACTCACTCACTCTCACACTCACTCACACACTCACACACTCACTCACACTCTCTCACTCACACACACTCTCTCACACTCTCTCACTCACACACTCACTCACTCACACACTCACTCACACACACTCTCACTCACACTCACTCACACTCTCTCACACACTCTCACACTCACTCACTCTCACACACTCACTCACTCACTCACTCACACTCTCACTCACTCTCACTCACACACTCACACTCACACTCACTCACACACTCTCACACACACTCACTCACACACTCACTCACACACTCTCACTCACACACTCACTCACACTCTCTCACTCACACACTCACTCACACTCTCACACACTCACTCACACTCTCACACTCACTCACACACTCACTCACACTCACTCACTCTCTCACTCACACACACTCTCTCACACACTCACTCTCTCACTCACACACTCACACTCACTCACACTCTCACTCACACACTCACTCACACACTCACACACTCTCACTCACACTCACTCACACACTCACACACACACTCACACACTCACACACTCACTCACTCTCACACACTCTCACACTCACTCACACACTCACTCACACACACACACACACTCACTCACACTCACTCACTCACACACTCACACTCACACACACACACACAGGCTGCATCTTTACTGATTTCGTTTGTCTCATCTGCTGAAGCAATACCATCTCGTTTGTTTGATATTTTTGTTTGCGCCCCTGAAGACTGATTTTTTTTTGTAGATAGATGAGAGTATTTACTTCTGTGAAGCTCAGGCTAATACCCCC